AATGACACACGAAATCCGAGCGAGCAGTCTAGAGTACTTATCGGTCCTGCTAACTGCCTAGCCCAGCGAGTTAAGTCCAGAACAGACTCTGCAATATGAATCATTATTCTCAAACATACTGGGTTTATACACCAAACAGACAGACCACATCGTACCATAAAATAAGAAACAACATTTGTACAGAATTCAGCCAAATGTGGCTGTGAGTAGGGGAGCAGTAGTTAATAGACCGGGTATAACTCATGAATAGTAAATTGTACAGTAATAGTTTACGGGTCAAAATAAAGCTCATAATAAAAGGAACATGAATATGAATAGTTAAGTTACTCAACTATTAAAAAATAGGAAATATACACACCATATTGGTCCATAAATAGTTCTCAAAAGTTACCATTCATAATTCTCTTCGGGATATAATAGTGAGTAGCTATCAAACTGAATTAAAAATGAAACTAACATTGAATAAAAGTTATTCTAAGTTACGAAATTGATCTTACCTTTTATCCTATTCTAACAATAGTATATTCATCTATCGTTAAACTACTTCACATACAGATTTATATTTCTGTTACGTAATTAATTGATTTAAAGATAAAAATACAGGTGTTTGGTGGAGATTTTTAGTAATTTTATTGAGTTGAGATCATGAATCACTTGAAGCTAGACCACCATGGAAAACCTGAAAGCACTGAACAGCCGTTTTGTCCTATTGCGGGACTCCTCAGTGGCAGTGCGCATCCACGATCCCGCCTCACGAGATTCGAACCCAGAACCTACCAGTCTCGCACCAGAGCACTTAACTGAAGGATGCGCACTTCTGAGGAGTCCCACAATGGGACAAAACGGTCGTCCAGTGCTCCTAGGTTTTCCATGGTAGTCTAGCTTCAATTGATTCACTATCTCAACTCGATAAAAAAATGTTAATTAAGTAACTAGTGATTTCGTCTTCATCAATAATGAATTATAAGCATCATTGAATAGTATTCATAATATCTAAGAGATTACAAATAAATATTGACCAATTTCAAAACAAAAAAATATTCTTCTTTTATCATATTAGTTTATCATTAAAATAGTACCAATGAACTGACAATTTGTTTACATAAATATCTATTTTTAATAAATAAAGATTTATCATTTTTTACTTGAGAAAAAAAAGAGAAAAGAAAAAAAAAGAAGAAAAATCAACTTTGAATATATCAACATAATAAAGGTCAGTGAATCATGATAGAGAAAAAACACAAGAGTAAATGTACTTTTAAGGCAAAATGATAAATTGAGGGTTTTAATTTTATTCCCACAATAAGTTTTGTAATAAATTACTAAAATTAATATAGAGAAAAGAAGAGAGAATTTTCTTATATAAATAAGTTTGTCCTTATATATACATGCATATGTATTTTTCTCACTTGTTTTCTTCATGTTGAAATTTATCCCATTTTTCAGTTTACTTTATTTATTTATTTACTTAAAAAACATAAATATTGGTACAAATGGGCACCAGATATATATGAGACACACAAATCCCATTTGATTTGTGTGAGGGCTGTGAAACTGCCCAGGTGCCCAGACTGAAGCAGGTGGTTTTCTTAGGGGGCCACACCCTGAGCCTTTGATCTAAAGGTCTGATCCACAAGGCAGTGGAGCATCGTAAGGAGATGTAGTCCCATGGTAGCCGGTGACCAACGATTGATTTATACGCCGTTCGTTCCCTTAGGACACTGGAGTTCATGTGCACCATTAGTTTGGAATCAGGGTTTTCCAACTCCCGTAGGTGAACTTTCCGTGTCTACCAACCCGGTTAAAGCGCCGAACATTTGCTTTTCATCCTCTCAATTTCGTAAACAACAGTGATGCCACGAGAAGGTAGTGAGTAGGACTTCCTTTGTAGAGGCTATATACGCGTGGCCATGTGAGAGCATTTCGAGAGGGAGGGCGGACTCACCCCACTCTCGGCCGTACCAGGACATTTGGAAGCTTTCAGTTTATTTGTATCTATATATCTATCTATCGAAATTGGGCTCATTAAAAAACATTATAGAAAAGTAAATTGTTATTTAAATCTTGATTTAAAAAATTAAATATTTTTTTTTCACAGAACCAGTATTCACTAACAGTGTAACACTGTTTTAATTGAGATTCTACATTCAGATATTTGGAAAAAAAGTTTGGTTACAAACTTGGAACACTGTAGAATATATTGAGGAATTAGAAACTGTCGTTAGGAATTCGTAAACTTGGGTGTTTTTCTAAACAACACTCATTAACAATGCTCATCTACAATCTTGATAGAAATAGTTTTTCTAGAGTTTGATGTGAACCCATACAATTAAGTGTTATAGTCAGTAATATTAGAATTGAACTAGATTTATACATGTATAGCGATTTATTACAATAATTTAGAACCAAAATATAATGCATCACAATGTCACTTCATTTAGACTATTAAGATTGTTGCAACTTGATTGATGCAAACTAATCAGCACTACAGATTAAACATTACATTATCTGTTCCTGACAATTAAAAATCAAAGTATAGATTACATAATTAAGTGTTGAATTTGTAAAATTATGAATGGAAGAGAGAAAAAACAGTCGATTCTAAAGAAATATAAAAAATATCAGCATTCTTACTAAGTTTGGTTTAAATTTGAAATAATTCTAAGTTGTTTCACTGTTAAAAGTTATACCAAGATTGTTGTGTCCGAAAACGATTAAGTTATGTGTAACTATTTATGAACTGTTATTATATGTATATTTTAATTGTGTAACTAGTAAGTAACTAGATGATAGATATTTATATTTCTCTTACCATAAACTCTCATTTGACTTATTTGCTACTATTATGCGATTTACTATTCTTAGGTTATTCCCAATCACTTAGTTACAGTCTCTCAAATTCACAATTACGTTCAGCTAAATCTGATATAATTATTATTTTTCACTTTATGATGTGTATAAACCAAGTATGTCCGAAATATACAATTCATTCACTAGAAGCTGAGATTGTGTTCTGGACTCAGAGGGCTGGGCAAAGCAAGAAGAATCAATAGGGATTCAGGGTTGATTCTAAGCTGCTTGTACTGGTTAACTCGTTATTGGCTTGGCACAGGGTCAAGGTTGTGTAAGTTAGGGTTCGGGTTAGCGATTTTGATAGTCAAATAAGTGTCTCAGTTCTATAAATCCTTAGTATTTATCATAAACTGCTGCAGAAATCGATAGTTATTTCAAAAATGACATTTCATACAAGAATGATCAAAACGTTTTTTCTCGTTACTAGTGCGGTGTGGGTTGCTTAAATCCACATAAGTAGTATATGACAGAACGAAACTGAAGCGCGATTGTTATGAAAATGCATGAACGATAACAATCGGAGACTATGGACTGATATTTGCAGAAGAAATGGTTAAGATTGAGATAATTGATAATTTGCAAATAGTTTAAAGATCCCCATCATATTAAAGGACTAATATTTGAACGAAGAATATTCTTTTCGATAAATTCTCTTCAGGTTCTACAATTATATATCCAAATTAATAATCCGAAAAAATGGCCAGGTTAAAGGCAAAGTACATCGTTTGAAGCATGTAAATTTGCAAATTAACTATTTACTGCATGATTGCTAGATTTTAATGAGATCGTCTGTAATTTTCGTATCAAATACATTCGATTGTCTCCACTCGTATTCTGTTCACTACACTAGGACTAATACTTTTTGAAATTTTCACGAATGTATTTTAATATCATTCAAAGAAAATCAAATTTTTTTGAACGATTTTATCAGAATTTTGATTTCAAATTGACTGTTAAATTATCTTATTTTATATAGTTGAGAACATGAGTCAGTTGAAGCTAGACCACCATGGAAAACCTGAAAGCACTGGACGGCCTTTTCGTCATATTGTGGGACTCCTCAGTGGCAGGACCTATCAGTCTTGTTTTGTTTATTTTTTCCTCTAAAAAAAGAAGTAATTGAAGATTGTATTTTCTCTTCATTATTTTAAAACATTTATAACTAAATTAGGAAATAATAGAGTAACTTTAAGATTAGAAAAAAATAATGCCTAAAATAACACTTTTCTAACCAAATAAAACAAACATAATTTACAAATGATTTTGAGATGGTGGAGAAGATTTGTAGCTAAGGTGAATGATTTTGATGAATTTTTGTTCTATGAACTGGATAGTTTGGTCATGGAGCTTTCATGGTTCTTTTGATGTCGTTCAAAAGAACAATGAAAAATCCACGACCAAACCATCCAGTTCAAAGAACAAAACTTCATCAAAATTGTTTATAAAATTTAATTTTTATTTTCAGCAATTTTAATCAAAATAATGTCAATGTTTACAAATTAACTAACAATAATAATAATCTTGTCAAAAAAAGAAAAATATCAAATAGAAATTTATAAGTTAATTTCTACTTGAATAAGTAGTAGTTCTCATTTATACTAATTGCTTGTTGTTTCTTGTTTTTTTTTTGTAATTTAATTCAATCGACATTTTATCACCTGTCGAAATGATTCGAAATTTAATTAGTTTTCTTTCTTGTTTTTTTTTGTTGTCAATAAAACTTAACCAAGAGTAAGAAGAAAGAAGAAAGAATTAGGTAACTCTTAAAGAGAACGTAGCATATAAGGCAAGAGATGACATAATGAATATTAAAAAAACAATAACAATAATATATCAACAATACAGTTCCATATAAAGTAAAAAATACTTTATTATTATGTTATTGAGAATAGGTTAATGAAATCTGATTACATGAAAACTACTTATTGATTGTTTGTATTTATAAAACAATGTTACTTACTTACTTTTTCTGGTTAGCGTTTTTTTGGCGAGTTGGTTTTCTACGGGATGGGGTCGCTAACCCCATGCACAACCCCAACAGGAGGAATTACAAAACAATGTATTATGTACTATTTGTTTAGATGAATTTTCTGTCAAGATTTATTTATATTGATTTATAAAAATAATCTAAATAATGATAATAACATATGGTACTAGAAATTTGTTCAAGAAAATCTATGTTAAAAACTAGGAGAAACGAAAATCGTGAATATTTATTGAAAAAGTGTTTTAGGAAGTAGAATACACAAATTTTTGTTCTTTGATATAAGTAAATAAAAAGATTTGAACCATCATCATCATCATCATCATCATCATCATCATCATCATCATCATCATCATCATCATCATCATCATCATCATCATCATCATCATCATCATCATCATCATCATCATCATCATCATCATCATCATCATCATCATCATCATCATCATCATCATCATCATCATCATCATCATCATCATCATCATCATCATCATCATCATCATCATCATCATCATCATCATCATCATCATCATCATCATCATCATCATCATCATCATCATCATCATCATCATCATCATCATCATCATCATCATCATCATCATCATCATCATCATCATCATCATCATCATCATCATCATCATCATCATCATCATCATCATCATCATCATCATCATCATCATCATCATCATCATCATCATCATCATCATCATCATCATCATCATCATCATCATCATCATCATCATCATCATCATCATCATCATCATCATCATCATCATCATCATCATCATCAACATCATCATCATCATCATCATCATCATCATCATCATCATCATCATCATCATCATCATCATCATCATCATCATCATCATCATCATCATCATCATCATCATCATCATCATCATCATCATCATCATCATCATCATCATCATCATCATCATCATCATCATCATCATCATCATCATCATCATCATCATCATCATCATCATCATCATCATCATCATCATCATCATCATCATCATCATCATCATTGGGCACATTGATAATAATTTAGTTGGTGTAACTACTTTACAATTACATCCTATATGTCTTGGATATGTGTTGTGTTTGTCGTCACACTGGGTTTCAGACTATATATAATTTCCCGACTGTACAACTAAGTGAAGAAAAACAAAGTTTTGGATAGTCTACGGTGCTGAACAATGACATGAAAGATAGGTGTATGGAGCTGGTAACTGTTGATTTTTCGTGACTGGAATCCTAGAGATCGTGTAATTTAATGTCTTGAGAGATTATCAGTCGCAGCTTAGAACAGAAGTCAGTGGTGATCGTGCTATGGTTTCCTGTTATCTTCTTCATCAAGGTAAAATGAGCGTTCTTATTTGGATGGAGTCTATATTGGTTTTATCATTATTCAAACAACTTCTTTCATTTAATGTCATTTTTGTTCATTTACGTCTTAACAATAAAGGCTTTTGATTTTTTTTAAAAGTGAAATTATTTAATTTTCTGTGACTATTTATTTTAGTATCCAATTATATCAAACGCTTTGTGTTTTAGTGATAAAAATAAAATGTGATCATTTCTAGATTTCTGAACGTACATGCTATTTATCTAGAGAATACAACTGAAGATTTCTATCAACATGTCCGAAGGTTATGAAGGAATTTCAAAGATAGTACAGTCAAATATTAGCTAGATTTAAAAGTAGACACCAATGTGATCAATGGTATTAGATTGTTATTTATACATTGACTTGAGAGCTTCCAATAGAAGAACTTGATTCAGATACTTAAAACATACAGCTTCTTAGTAAGAGATTTTGACAGCTTAATAGTTAACATTGACTCTAGTGTTATAGTTCTAAACTGATTGAACCCATACCTTGGGTTTTTCTGAAACATTTTTAGTTTAATTTTGTTTTCTATACGTGCTTTTATATTTTCATTCCATGTAGATGATTTTACGTCTAAGAAGCAATTTTTGTCTCCTATTGTGAACAAAATCATTCGTATTTTTTGTAAAGTAATTTTTATAGAGTGTTCAGAAGTTTTCATTTTCCATGAGTGAGTATTATTAGAACACATAATATCACTTATAGAATGATTGGTAATATATTCCAGTAGCAGTAAAATTAAGCTGAAATTAGATCATCAGTATTTGGAATTCGTAAATTTCACTATACCGTCAAATGAAGACCATATTTCATTTGATTGTTTGACGACTGGGAGGTTAACTGATTGATTATATCCACAAATATGGATCAGATTCAAATGAAGTATATAGATACTTTTTACATAAATATGACAAGGTTATGTAATTATATAAAAAAATAGTGATTCTATTGAAGCATAAATTTCGTTCAAACATAAGTTCATGTTTTAGGAAAAAGTTTAACCAATCAAAGTGAGGGATATCTGAAATTCAATTAGCATAAATTAGTTTGGATGCTTTTAAAATTTCAAAAACTAGGTCATATTGAGTTTTGGGTTATTTTATAAAAATAACCTCTACATTTTTCCCATTTTTGGTATAAAAATTCAACAAAATTTGATTCACACAAGTGGTTTATTAATTTAGCTTTCAAGTGAATTTTATTAGTTGAAAATACCTGTAACCACGAATTAACATCAGCTATAAAATATTCGGAAACTATTGACCATTAGATAGCCTTGTTCCAGCTCAGGAATCTGAAGTAGTCAACTTCCGCGACCATTCACAAGATTGTATCCATGACCTTCAAATCTCATAAAAAGTACAATGGAGTCTAATCAGTCAAATGAAACCTACGGGACTCAATTTACAAATTTTGTCGATAGGTGACGGAGGCAGATTTCCATTCAGTCACCCTAATCTCTATTCAATTACTTTAATTTCTGTGACCATCTAGGATTGCCATAACTATAAATGTAACGTAAGCATAAACATAGATAGTTTTACTACTGATCACTAAGATATTTAGTCAGCTTGTGAATAGAAGCCTTAGTTCATGTAGCTCATATATCAGTGGGCATTGATCAGTTTCGCCCTGAATATTTGGAATAGGGTGCATCGACAAAACTCAAACAATGAACCATACTTATTTGATTATCTTTGTTCAAGGCGAAAATTGCCAATGTTTACTTACATAATAATCTAGTTAAGTGTTCAGATAAAAAAGTTTATAAAAATTAATTTGCTCGCTGAATTGATAATAATATTATTATAATCAAAAAAGGTTTTGTGAAGATTGTAGTAATTTAATAGTTGAATTCATCAATTGATTAAGACTAGACCACCTTGGAAAAGCTGGATGGCCATTTCGTCTTATTATAAGACTCATCAGCAGTTCATATTCACGATCCCGCATGTGGGACTTGAACCCTGGACCTTCAATCTCGCGCGCGAGCACTTAGCCTGTAGACCAATGAGTGGGGATTCAATGTGTTAATGTCTAACTTCAACCACTCCATGAAATTGCGCCACCATCCGCCATCGTCTTCAGTGAGTTACTATCTCACAACAGACACGGTTGAACTCCACTGGTCACGGCTTCTCACTAGAAATCTAGGAAATGCTTCTTGGAGATCGTCACTAGTGATGGTTATTATTATTATCAGAAGGGGTTTTGTGGAGATTGTAGTAATTTGATAGTTGAATTTATGAGTCGATTAAAGCTAGACCACTATAGAAAACCTGGAAGCATTAGAAGGCCGTTTCATCCTAGCATAGTCGATTCCGTGGATTGTTTGGGGTTAGACATTAACATCGTTAGATGCCGGCTCAATAATCTACAGGTTAAACATTCTTTTGCGAGGTCGAGGGTCTTGGGTTTGAATCCCGCTAGTGGGATCGTGGATTTACACTTCTGATGAGTCCCATACAAGCCGAAAACAACCGTCTAGTTCTTCCAGGTGTTCTAGCTATAATCAATTCAAAAAATTCAACTGTTAAATAATAACAATAATTAAAAAAACAAATCTTTCTTACCTTGTCTTATTTAATCACACCATTACCACATATGATAATATTTAACATTATTTCAATATAATTCATTGAATGATGAAAATGTAGAAGAAGAAAAAGAAAAGGATAACAACTTATGTATATGTTGTTTAACCTAAGCAAATCATTTATTCATTAGATTAATCTTGACTTATTTCTCTCTCATTAATATTACTTAACTATTCAGGTCAATAAGAACAATTCCATAATGTAAATAACAATTATGATCAAAAGTAAATGTATTTTCTTATAACAATAAATTATGTTGACTACTTTAAAATACCATATTACAATTATATATATGTATACACACATTATAAATTAATCATTGGCAGTTTACATATGTAACAACATTACACATTAGTTACTTACTTACTTACTTACACCTGTTACTCCCAATGGAGCATAGACCGCCGACCAACATTCTACATGAAAGTTGAATATTTCACAACAACAAAAAAAACATTTTAACAAATGACTTGTTCATTAATGATTGTGTTTTTATATGAAGAATTTGTTGATAGGTGATTTGATATTTATATTCATTTATAAATAGGTTTACTTACATTTTTCTGGTTAGTGTTTTTTTTAGCGCGTTGGTTTTCTACGGGATGTGGTCGCTAACCCCATGACAAACCGTCCTCCCTTATTCGGGCTTGAGACCTGCAGTAGCCCCCGGAGGAGCTACAGGTGGAGTATATATAAGTAGGGATAATTTTTCAATAAGTAATTTTCTGTTAAATAATTCTGTACACATCTAAAAGTAATAATAATATAATAGGTAATAATGAAATGATAATATAATTAATCAAGTTCATAGTCAATGACAAAATATTTGAAAATCGACATAGAATATCAAATCATTGAAGAAATAGTAACATAAATTTGTCAACAAACACCAAGATCACAATTTTCAATACAAATGTCAAGATAGTTCTACTGTATGGGACGAAAACTTGGAGAACTAGGAAAGCCATCATCTAGAAGTGTTAATTAACAGTTGTCTACGCAAAATACTTCGAATCCCTTGGACAGACACTATCAGCAACAACCTACTATGGGAGAGAACAAGTCAGATTTCAGCGGGGGAAGAAGTGCTGGAAGTGGATAAGACACATTGAGAAAAGCACCTAACTGAGTCACAAGGCAAGTCCTCACTTGGAATCCTCAAGGCTAAAGGAAAAGAGGAAGACCAAAGAACACATTACGCCGAGAAATGGAGACAGATATGAGAAGAATGAACGAAAATTGGATAAAACTAGAAAGGAAGACCAATGACAGAGTGGGTTGAAGAATGATGGTCGGTGGCCTATGTTTCATTGGGAGTCACAGGCATAAGTAAGTAAGTAACATAATTAAAATAATTTAGATCGATAGGAAAAAAGGTAAAGCCTTTTTTGTTTTTGTGTGTAGTTATTGGAGAGGAGATACAATATTGTGTGAATTCAATAACATGAGATATTAACTGGTCCTATTGAAAATTGTCTTAATGATCTGAACTAATAAGGATTAGTTCTATTTTTTTTGTATATTCACAGTTTATATGAAGTCATTTAATGAGTTATTCATGATCCCATAAAAAACCAATGGAGACATATGATTTCAGTAGTACATATGCTCAGATGTGTAAATAGAAAACGAACAAACAAAACATTTATGAACATTGAATAATTTATAAATCATGTTAGCATTTATGAACTTATAAACTTTACTTTTTTTAGCAATCAATTGCTAATTTAATCTATTTGCTCTTTGGTTAAAATGTATCAGATCACATGAAGAATCAACTTACTAATTAGAGTAAACGGCCTTTAACTCAAAATAATAAACAGTGAGGTTTGAAGATATGATTTGTATAAAGGAATTATCATTAGTATAAAGGGATTTGTGGCGTCTGTACAATTTTCATGGATTGAAATACCAACTGATCCTAGCAATTCCATCACTGATAACTTGAAAGCACTGGACCATTAGAGGTCCAATGAGAAGCCATGAGCAGTGGAGTTCAACCATGTCAGTCGTGAGACAGTTATTCACCTTAGGGAATAGACATGTCTGGCACTGAACGCCAGATAAGTGGTCTAGAGATCAAGAATTTTTACAAGAGACCAAAGGTCGCGGGGTCGACTCCCGGATTCGGGGTTGTGGGTGTATACTTCTGAGGAGTGCTATGCTTGAACCAAACGGTTGCTCGGTGCTACCAGGTCTTCAATGATAGTCATGCTAAAGTCAGTTCACGGTTCAAACTACAGAAATAAAGGGATTAGTTTACGGAGAAACTAGCATAAACTAATCATTCAGTAAAAGCTTGTTTGGAGAAGGGAGTATCTTTGAACTACACATATACTCATATTCCAATA